GCTTCGCGTGCTTCCCTCGGGCTCCGTCTACCGAGTCGATGCCAGTGACGCAATAAACCCCCACATCCCTGAGGCTTTGGAGCGCTAGCTATTAAAGGAACCCCTATGATACCTTCAATTGTAAAGTTGTCCCTAAAGAACCCTGGAGCCCGAGAGTGGCGAAAGAGCTGCAAAGTTTTGGCGTGATAGGCGAAGCCCGTCACAGTATCGGCGGCAGCGGCCCCGAACTTGAAGGCTTGTGTTCAGGGTCGAGGGTTTAGGGTTTATAGGGGCTACGGACTAAATTGTGTGGGTGTTGGAAGCTTTGTACGCCTGCCGATCCGTGTTTTTCTTAGACCTAGGCAGCTTCAAAGGTTCAGGCGGCAGCTGCTCAGCCAGAGGGCTCCAGCTACGTGTTTAGGGATGTTTAGGCTTTGTTGAGGGTTTAGGATGTAGAGTTCCAGTTACTTGAGCAATACCCGAAAATCCGAAAGCCTAACTATGGTTTCTGGGGCTGTCAGCTATGATTGCAAATGCTTCGTTTCGTCCGCCTCAGCCTGGTGAGTAGTATCCGAGCCATTGCGAGCACAAGACGCTTGGGGGGCCGGGGGCGGGGGAGGGAAGGGTCACATCTCTGGTCGTGCGGACCAGGAAGCCGGGAGGAATTGGGTTATTGTGGAGGGGTTGGGAAGTGGGGAAAGAGGTTTTGGGAGGGGACAGAGGGAACCTCTTACCACGCTTGGTCACAACTGTCCTAACCTACTATTTTGAGGGTTGGGGATACAGGTATGATACCAATTAAACGCATGGCACTGAAGGTACCTATCGTGCATATAAGCAAATATCCCATATGAGACCCGAGAAGGTACACAACCCCCTTAGCCCAATACCTCTTATCTTGAATCAGCACTATGATACTAAATCTGAATATGAAGCCCTCCTTGTTTTAAGCTATGTTTCTTAGTCAAGGCGTAACAATGCGTATAAACCGGTATAAGATCACAAAGACTACGTAGGCTGGCAAGGAACCCTAAACAGTCCCGAGCCCATGCAAGGGCAAGGACCTCTTGGTACGCCGAACGGGCAAACCGGGTCCGAACAGGCGCATCCAGGGTAACCTGTGCGGCCTCTCACATCTAGGGGCCAGCAGAGACACAGTGGAGGGTTTAGGAATCATGAGGTTTGGGGGTTTAGGAATCATGGGTTTTGGGTTATGTATTTGGGACTTTGGCATGTCAGGTTCAGACAATCTGTGAGCTGTTGGCCCCGACACGTTCAGCCAAGTGAGAGCACTACGTAAGAAATCGCGAAGGGATTCGGGAAGGATTTAGTGTATGGCGTTTGGAACTCAACGTTTACACACTCAGCCACTTATTCCTGGGTCCTATATTTTCTTAAGTAGTGTTGTCACTGCACTGCATGGTGCCTCTGCATCGCCCCTTCAGGAGTGACTACTGGGTTCGAGTTGCTTGGACTAGAACATGGGGTGATTCCATCTGACATGTGGGCTGTCGGCGCCCTGCAGAGCGCACCTAACAGTATGAAGCTTGACTTGCCCGTCCTGCTGCAGCACTGCGAAGACCGTGCGTGTGGTAAAACCGACATCCACTCAGGTGGTTTGTGCATTTCTCAGCTGATTTCGCGCGTTGCAATGTCTTTGATTGCACAGAGTCTCCAGGTAACTCTTTCGGTATCTCCTGCGGGGTTGGGCTGGCATGGTTGGCAAGTGATGGTTGGACTTTGGCATTAGTGTTTTGCTTACGAAACAGTAAAGCCCTAAAGCCCCAAAGCCCTAAAGCCCTACATACATCTTAGCTGCCTTAGCTCAAGTCTCGCTCAAGCCGCTCGCACTCTGCCCCGCAACATACCTTTTCCGCCATGGTGTCCGCATCCCCAATTGTGAATGATGCCGTTGTGGACTACGCGGGCCTGGGCCATCAGCAGGCCCAGCCAGAGGCACGCACCTCCCGCAAGTGGCGACTTGGCAGACGCTTTGTCATTCTTGCTACTACCCATAGGCCCCTAAGTAGTTCCTTTTTATGGTTTATATTTAGAATCTTATATGGTAATCCCACAAAGGAACTACTTAGAGGCCTATGGGTATAGACCATCTATAGTATTGTTGTGGGTCTCATGGTTATTAGTAAAACTAGCGCGATAATCGCTGCTGCTACGTTTGATTGCTATAAACGATTACTTGTCATCATTGTAAGTAACTATTTCCCGGTCTTACTGCTAGTCGCTTGCTGATGTTATTAGCAGTAGTCGCGGTAGCATTAGCAGCAGCAGCAGCAGCAGCAGCAGGAGTAGTTACAGCCTAAACCCATCTCAGCCCTCAGCCCTTTACAAACACTAAACCCGAAGCGCTTTTAGAAACCCTAAACCCTAAACCCCTTTATAAACCCTAAACCCGAGGAGTAGCAGCCCTTCAGACAGAGAAGGTACTTCCTTGGTGCCGGCCTGGCTCTTCTCGGCGTCGCCGGGGTCGTGGCCAAGGCAAGGAAAAGTCCCTCAGGGATCAGGGTTTAGGTTTTTAAGGGTCCATGTGCCCAAACGGTATAGACTTTGGCCCTATAGCCTAAAGTACGTGAATAGGGATAACTTTAAGGCCAAAGTATATACTACTTGGGTACATGGACCCTTAGGGAGTTCCAGGTTGCAGGGGCGCCTTTAAAGGGAGCTCTTCAGGGATTTATGGGCCTTAGGGTTATAATCATAGAGGGTAGTTGGGGGCGTGTTAGGGTTCCTTTGAAGGGTTCTACCAGGGTTCCTTTAAAGGTTCTTCTAAGGGGTTCCTTGGAAGGGCTTAGGGTTTCGGGATTTGGGGTTTGCCCGGGGGTCCAAGACTTCAAGAACCCAACCCGCTAATTAAGGGCTCAGAACCTCTTTGGTACGGTTGATGGGATAAGGCCTGCATTACCCATAAAAAGGAATAGACGCTACTTCCCATAGTTTAGGGGTCCTTAAGGTACTGCCGGATTTATATCATCAACAGCAGGACTGTAGGTCATCATTGGGTTCACATGAGCGGTTCATACGACAAGTTGCCGATGAACAGCTTCCTGCGAATGCATTAGGCCTCTCCGAAAAACTGAAAACCAAGCAACGCCAGAACCTAGCAGGCAACCTCGTGGAAAGTGGAACAGAACCTAGCGAAAGAAGCAGCATCATCGTTCCAAGCATTCTTTGGAGGTTTGCACAAGTGTTCATTGGCTTTCAATAGGTTGAGTCCTGTTGAACTGGTTTTCAGAGGTTTCAGGCATGCGCCTCACAGCATTGCAGAAAACTAGCGCGGCCATTGATGAAGACCACAAACACAAGCGGCAGCATGCATCTTAACCTAGGCAGAAACTTAGCCGACTCCTTCTACCAAGAGACCGTGTATTTGCGAGCCAAGCAAGGGCACTCGATGGTGGCAACTGTTTGCCCTCCAGCTTTCAAGCGTTCGATCGTCAGGAGCACTCAGAGGTACCCTGAAGCCTACCCTAAACCCTGAACCAAAGCCCCAGACCCTAGAAACCCTAAACCCTTCACCAACTCTAAACCCCCAAACCAAGGATCTCGAACTCTACCTGTCACCCCAAACCCTTCCAAATAGCAGGGTATATGACCCCTTAATTCATGGGTCGAACGCTTCAAACGGTAGGTTGTAGAGTTTAGGGTTAAGGGTTTCAAACGGTAGGTTGTTGGATTCCCAGGTACGGGCCTCTAAAGAGGAAGCCCTAAACCCTAAACCTTAAACCCTAAACCTTAAACCCTGAACCCTAAACCCTAAACCCTAAACCGTTCTTCCGAAGCCCTCAGTGGAGGCAACGAGCTCCGGTGACGCTCTGTTTTCCTCGAAATCCGGACTGAAAGGCAAGCTGGCCGAAGGACAGTTTCATATAGGGTTTAGGGATGTTTAGGGTTTAGAAAGACCGGTTCATATAGGGTTTAGGGATGTTTAGAGCTTAGAGGGATTAGGGGTTTAAGTTTTAGGGTTAGTCTCGAGGTTTGCAGGCAATTCGGGTTTAGGGCCTCTAGGGTTTAGGGTTCAGGGCTTAGGGGACCAAGTTACAGTAAAGAGGGGCTTCATGGGTTTGTAGTTGAGAATTTATTGCGTTTTCGGGCGTATGGAGATTCCCTTCCTGTGCGTGTGTGTGTGTGTACGCGGTGCTTGAGGCTGTGCTCCCAGAGACTCCAATATCCCTTAATTAAGGAAAATAAGATACCTTAAATCATAATAGGGATCCTACTCTAGTTTAAGGATAATCTACCTTTAATCACAGTAGGGATCCTACTCTTTAAGGTATAACCCTAAACCCTAAACAATTAAGGGGATATTGGAGTCTCTGGGCTGGTCGCTTCTCTTGGGCTTATTCTAGGGTTTAGGGTTTAGGGTTTAGGGGTTTAGGGTTTAGGGTTTAGAGGTTTAGGGTCTAGGGTTTAGGGTTGATTTAGGGCTGTAGGGATAAGGATCTAGCAAAGCAGGGTTTCTGACAACCGCATTTTGTTGTCCAGTACAAGGAAGTTACACAAACCCTAGATCCCGCGAAGGTCCGATCCTTCCTTTTTGTGCCCCTTTTTGCTCTAAATACCGTAAAGTTCATTGCCTTTAGTATCTAGGATTATACAACTATTGTCAGTGTACTTACACAGATATTCAGTTATGACTCCCTAATTAAGGTACTTGTTGCCTGACTTACCACGACGTCCTTGTTCTCCTCGTAGTATGGTAAATCCAAAAGCTCTGAAGACCCGCAGGTACCATCCAGGCCGCAGAGACCTGGGAGGAGCTGCCGGGTATTGACAAGGTCATTCGCAAGGCCCAGGGTCAGGGTCTATAGGTTTAGGTTTTCGATCGGATTTCGGGTTTAGGGTTTAGGACGTTCTAGGGATTAGGGTTTAGTGCTTAGGGTTTTGGGGCTTAGGGTCTACCTACCTGGACCCTAAAGAACCTACCTTTGTAGGGCTCCGTATTATGACTTTCGTACTAAACCCTAAACCGAATGGGGCTTAAACCCTAAAACCGTAAAACCCTCAAGAAGAAGAGCCACCCTGGCAAGGCTCAGAGCTTGAAGCAGGACAAGCCGATGCGCAATCTGCAGGACGCGGTCCAGGGTTCAGGGTCTATAGGGTCCAAAGGGTTCAGGGTTTGGGGTTTAGGGTCTGGGCTTGGGGTTTAGGATTTAGGGTTTAAGACTTCAAAACCGCTCAGTATGGAATTTTTACGTACCTTGGACTAGCGAGTTGTATATGTTCAACTAGGGGGTTAGACTGACCTGAAAATACGGAAGGGATCCTTATTACAGAAAGTTCAGGAATTTACGTATTAGAGTACAGAGGGATGCTTGTCCTAATAATTTTAAACTCTTCTCGTCGTCCGCCTCGGCCCGGCCGCAAACAAAGAGGGCCAACGAACTGCAGGTGCCAATTTACTGCAGCTCACCGTTGTACGGAAAGACTGAAGAGATGGAGACAAAAAGCAATTGAGAATGGGGCGAGGAACAACTGGACGGCGGAGGAAAGAGACGAGGCAAAAAAGCAATAAAAGTGGAAAGCAGACGCAGAAACTCGAGTTTGAAAACGGGCAGGACATGAAAACAAATGGGCCTGTGTTTTGTGTCGAGGACCTTAGGCTTGCAGCGCATCGACGGTTGCCGCTCTCAGCCATCGCAAGCCAGAAAAAAGCAAGAACGGCGGAACAGCGGGGAAGCAACAAAGGAGGGGAAACGAAGCGAATGGGTGGGGGAAGGAACAGGTGGGCGGGGAAGGGGGTTGGGGGGGCGGGAACTGGGTCGGCGGGAGCCTGGGAACGACGGTGGGTGGGAGTCCCTACAGACACAGGAGGCGAGATTTCACCGCATGACCTTGGAGCTAATAGGAACCTCTGACCGCTTCCGCCGGGGCCGAGGCGACTATGGTATATGACCCAACTACATTCAGGGCAATCCATCACGAAGTTGGCTTTGTGTCCGGAATCAGGGTCTGCAAGCTGGGCCGAAAACTTCAACAACAAGGTGCGAAACGGTCGGCGTTGGTTGTGCTCGGCTCCCCTTCAACGATTGCACACACCCCGGCTGGACGCACACCTGGACTACAATGCTAAAGTGCAGTGAAAATGGCAAGCGCAGGGCCTCCCCTCACTCTATTGGCATTGTTAAAACCCAAACGGGGTGTAGGATCACGTAGAGAAGGACTGGGACACACCGGGTCCCACCACGCCCCACCGAACCCGATTTGGGTCCCACCGTCCCACCAGGCCAGGGCCGGGGCCACCGAGCCACACCCAACCGTCTGCAGGTCGCCACAGCACAGGTTTGTTCGGCAACCCTATTTTTGAGCATGTGCACATGAACTACCACGCGGTGTGAAAAAGACTGAAAAAGCCTTGGTATATCTGCAGAGGCAGCACGCGTCGTGTCACGTGCAAGGCTGGTGGTTTTGAGGTCGGGATTTTGCATCCAGACAATGCTCCTGCTTCCGGCTTCAACATATCGTGCCTCCATAGTACTATAAGAATGCAATCAGCTTACATGCGCCTCTGCCTGGGGGAAGGGGAAGCTCTGCAATGTAGAGCCATGTCACAGCAAGCTACGTGCAAACTTTTGGTCTAGTCAGACTGACTAGCGTTTGGGCAGCTGCAGGGCACTGGATTGGCAAGCAAAACGTGCGACTTCCGGTTTCGTTTCTTGGACCGTTTTTCTGGGCGACTCACTTATAGTTAAGGTCGGCCCAGTTTTGGAGCCACGGAAACTCCACTTTGGGAGCCACAATTTCGGCCCCAATCATTTGGATTACTTGTCGGGCTGCTTCGTGTTCCCATCCTTGCGACCAGGTTTGCTTCCCGTATTGGAGGTCCGGTTTCAAACTCGCTTTGCGGATCCTAAAAGGGGTTAGACTGACTTGAAAATACGGAAAGGATCCAACCCTAAACTCCTAAAGCTTAAAAGCCCTAAACCCTAAATACGGAAGGAATCCTTGTGAACTTTAAGGGGTTTGCTGCTACATCTGCAGGATCTCTTCTATGACTCCCAACCTGAGGAGCTGCCTTGGATCCGGAGCTTTATTTCTTGTAGCTTTTTTGGGTTTAAGGGTTTGGTGTTTGTAGGGATTTGACGTTATAATTTCGCAAAGTATGCTTCTGGAAAAGACCCTTATCATCCTAAACACCATTGTAGCTTCTGGTCTCCTGTTTGGGAAGCTCAGGATCCGCACGGAGTGCGTCATTGACACCGTGCAGGCAGCCGCCTACCTTGGCCAGGCTGTCGTGTTCCTCTACAAGGCCATTGACAGCACGGTTTCGGGTTGGGGGTTGAGCGGGTGTATGCTGGCTTATATGTTTTTAAGGTTTCGAGGTTTAGAATTTAGAAGGGCATATCGGGTGCATGGGTTTTATAGGTTTAGGGTCTAGGGTTGATTCTGTTGTACGAGGCCATTGACTACGATGGCCTTGAGTGCCCGAACAACTCTCCTGTTGGATGCGCCGCCAGCGTCGCCGGCTTCATCACGTCCATCAGCTGGATCGCCTCGTACCTCTCCTTTGCGGCGAACGCCTGTGGCCAGGCTGTCAACAACGGTGCGTTGTGTGCTGGCGATTTCACAGCTCTCATGGCCAACTTCGGCGAGATCGCCACCGTGGGTGCCGCTGCCAGGGCGGACTGCGACTTCGGCAAGAATGCCCTCCAGATCCTCACGCGCACGGA